TTGACCTCAGACTGATTCCCTATATAATCTCATGTATAATCCCTAACATAAATTAACACACAAAAGTCCAACCTGTCTACAACTCTGACTTCTCTTCTTAAGATGTACATTTCCAAATACCTACTGTTCACCTTCACTTAGTTACCTTGCACGTAGCTCACAAATAAAATGTTCCCAAACTAAACTGTCTCTCCCTTATCCCCTAGATGTTGTCTACCCCATCCTGTATATTTTTAACAGCATCAAAGGCTACCCAGTCTTCTAATCTAAAACCTTTTCTTATGAGTCAGTTTGTATTTCCCAAAACATAGGTTGATATCCTAACCCATGATACCCTTGAATGTGACCTTATTTGGAAATAGAGTCTTTATAGATATAGTCAAGTTAAGATGAGGTTGTTAGGATGGGCCTTAATTTAATATAATTAGTGTCTCTATAAGAAGAAAAGACAGAGATACATAGGGAGAATACCATGTGGTGACAGAAGCAGAGACCAGAGCGATGTAGCGGCCAGCCATGGAGGGCCAAGGATTAACATCACCATCAAAAACTAGGAAAAAGCAAAGGAGGATCTTCCCTAGTTCCCTCAGAGTGCATGGCCCTGCCAACATACCACCTCCACTTCAGACTTCAAGCCTCTAGAACCATCAGAGAATAAATTTTTTGTTGCATAAAGCCATCAAGTTTGTGATACTTTGTTATGGCAGACACAGGAAATTAATATACCCTTTGAAGCAGCCCACAATTAATATATCCAGACCATGAGCCCCTATATTTTAACTTCCAAGTGACTTAGGATTTATCCCCATCTGCTGCCATTACTCCCTCAGTTTGAACCCTCATCAGCTGTCATTTGGATAATTGCAATTGTTTCTGATCTTCTCACCTTTCTCCCCTGATGGGCTTTATAACACTCATAACAAAATTCGCTAACAGTACAAGTTTGCTAACAAAAAAAAGACTTTAAAGCTTCCTCTTTCTGTCAGAAAAAAAGAATCATATTTTAATCTCCTGTCATGGTACATCAAGCCATTCACTATCTGACTCCAACCTATTTCTGTAACCTTGTACTTCCCACTAGGCCATCCTCACATATTTTTAATGGGCCTTTTTTTTGCATCTGGATGCTTCCACAAGTGCTGGTCCCTTTATCTTTTCCAGGAAGGTAAAGGGACCAGCACTCTCATCTTCTTGATGAATTGTTTTTACCAGAAAACTCATTTCAAATGCCATCTCCTCTGTGAAGCATTCCAATTTATTTTCAAGTTTAGTTACACTATACTCTATCTTGCTTCAATATTTTCTCTAAAATTCTATTTTAATTCTTTTTTTATATGTTTCATTATAATTTCTGGTTTCCATATGTGTTTCTCCTCAAAGGCAAGAAATCTTCTTTGCTCTTTATCAGCTACAACAGTGCCAAAGACCATCAGTTATACTTACTGAAGAAACGAGCACTGATGGTGTGTCTTTCCAGTGCTTAGCAGGCATAGCAGGCATACAGTAACAAGCAGGTGCTCAGTAAGAGTGATTTGAAAATATGATTATCAATAGTTTATGGAAAATATGCTCAGATATATTCTTTCACATTTTTTCTCTCATAGTGATAAAGTGTATGAAGGGTTTATATGGACTGTGCTTCCTAATAGAACACAAAGTTTTGCATAAATGTGTTTGCAGTATGTTGAGTGACACTCCCTTGAAAGCTGGAAGTTTGGTAATATAAAATTTGAAGATTTCATTGATGCCTTTTCTCCAACGACCTCAGCTAGGTCTATCATGACGTTCATGGAATATTTTAAAACACCGAAGAACTATTAAGTAAAGTTATCTGCATTTGGCTTGAGAAGGAATGAATGGGGGATCTTTCTGTGAGAAAATTTTTACCCAGGATGTTTTCCTCTCTGTTGAGTGTACAAGATGAGTGAATTCTCTTAAGCCAGCCTTGATAAGTGAATACATTTATCAAAAGAGCAATAAAGAAGATTTGATGTATATGATTCACAGTGAGTAAAGGAGCTTCTCTGAAAGTTCTAAGAGCTTATATTATGTACTTTACAATCATATGAGGCTGTTATATTTTTAGTATTTGGAGAAATAAACTGGATAAATGTAATGCTTTTCTCTGAAATTTGCTTCCGTGTGCTTCCATAATCAATGTTACAATTCTGATGAATGCCTCTAGTTTTTCATCTTTATAGCAGAGAAGGAAGTAATCTGTAATAACTGAAAACACAGGCATTGTCTCTTTGACCTCTAAGAAAGAGTTCTCCATTAAAAAAAATTAGTTTTTTGGATCTTTTAATTTGAGACTTGGCACAATAAAAAGGAAAAAAAAAAGAACACTTCTTAAGAATTTAGTTAAGCCAGATGTCAATCACATTAAATTACTGCAGCTGTGTGAAAGAATTTTTTCCTAAGCAACTGTTAGCACAGTGCCTGGAGCATGGTAGATCTCAATAAATATTTACTGAATAAATGGGTGCATTTCATGCTTCATTTGAAGCTCATAATAATGAAGTGCTTCATTGCTAATGGTAAAAATCAGTGCAGTGTGTAGTTGTTGGCCATGTGCTTAGAAGGCTGCACTGCGCCTCAGGAGGAGGCTGATTCTGAGAGGACCATCAGTCCAGAGTCTGTGTTCTGAGAAGCCGTGACAGGAATCTCATTCTCATGAGTCCACGTGAGGTGACAGTATGTCTTTCTCAATTCTGAGACAAACTCGATTTTCAGAAAAAATGAATGCATGCCAATTATTTCCCCAGATTGTTTACTCAACACTTTACTTTTTTTAGAACTCATCTCTTTGGTTATTTTCTGGTAAGTTTATTATAAAATATTTTGACTTCATTCTGGAGTGTATATTTAACTGTCTGTCAAGACAAGGAGATCTGCCTGTCTGAGAACTGATACTAGAAGAGGATGGGAAAGCTTCCACAAAATATAATGGGAAAACAGGATACTAAGCCATGGAAGAGAGTGCCTTTTTTTTTTTTTTTTTTTTTAATGGAAGAAGTGGGGAAAGAGAGTTGTCCAAAGTCAAAGATGTTCTTTCCCAGTTCAAAGTGAAGATTCTTAAACTTGCAAAAGGGGGGAATATCCCCCATCCCTGAACAAAGGTAATAATATCTCAGAAACTTGAATCAAAACAAGCCTGGGGTGAATTTAGGTTCATTTCCCATGGCAACTCAATCTATCACAGTGGTCACTAGGAACATTGTTGATAAAGATTCTGAGGCTGCATCCAGATTTAGGCAGAGAGAGTTCAAAGGATATGGCTGATAATGGAGAAAATAAAATGGAATTAAGCACTAAGAAAGTCACTTAAAAGAGAGTTGGGAGGCCACTGAGGAAGTGGAGCTTATATACATCTCATGTATCAGTTCTCAGAACTACTATTAAGTTGCTAACTTGTTGCTAAACTGAGCTCAAGTTCAAGCCATAAACATCCTGGAACAACTTGCTGCATCGACATGTATGGACTTTGCTTCTTCCTGTAGTTCTTGCCTACCTCATTTGCATACTGAAACTAAGGGATCCTGGTTAACCTGCCCTGCAGTTCTTCATTTGCATGGAAGACCTAAATGGGAATTGCACTTGCGGTTTTTGCATTTATAAACCCTGTTTTTCTTTGTTCTCTTTAGAGTGCAATTTGGGTTGCTACCTTAAACTGCCCCTCTGGGATTGCAATCCTTTTTGTTCAAATTAGTGCTTTTTGTTCTTTATTACAGCCTAAACCTGGTCAACTGGTCCAGAACAGGCATTTGTAACAAGCTGCCCCAAGTGTGTCTTTATACACTAAAATTGTGAACCACTGATTTACTTATGCTACCTCTCTTAAATTAAACCAGTAGCAAATAGCTACTTATAGTGTGTACGTGACTCCTCAATTTGATAGCCATAATAACTGTTAATTGGGTACTTACTCTCCAACAGGTACTTGTCTAATTAGTAACATAAATCCTTTAATCTTCATTATAATTCTATTTTGGATATAAGGAAACTAAAAAAATAGAGTTTTGTAAATTGCTCAAGATAGTAGTGTTAGTAAATATCGAAACTAGGATTTAAGACAAGTATTCTCTCTCCAATGGCTGCATTTTTAACCATTTCTCAAGGTAGTACTTAAGACTTAAAGAATCTAAATGTATTAAATCAAGCATTACTTTCTATTGGGTAATCAGGAAAGATACCACTTTTGAGCACTCTGAGTACTGTTCTAAGCATTTACATGTTAATTTATTTAACCCTCACCCAACCCTATGATGTAAGGACTAGTAATTTTACAAATGAGGAAGCTGAGAGCTATGTCTTTAAGGATGTGTATAGGATTTTGAATGAAGAAGGAAATCCCAGGCAAAGTCATGTAGGGAGTGAGTATATGTGGCTCAGAAGCAAATTGGCTTTTACATGTATAAGAGCCCCAGACAAACAACAGGTGTAGGAATTCCAGGCAAACACCAGGAGACACAGCTGGTCAAAGCTGATTGGGGCCATGGTGTGAAGGCTTTATCTACAGTCTGTAATTCAGGAGACTTGGGGACAAAGTACACTTCAAAGGAGTGGCATGATTAGCACTGAACTTGAGTAAAATTAATCAAATATGTAGACTAGAGTAGATGGAAAATGAAGGCAGAGAACTCCACTTGGAATGGTTTAGGCAAGAAGTACTGAGTGCAAAGTTGATGAATAAGGGCAGATTCAACAGGCACAGTGGAAGAAGACTGTGTATGAATTTAGGGCTGATAAGAAACAGGAGATGAAGGAAGGGAAGACTTAAAGATACCTGGTGCTTTCAAATATACCTAAGTAAGATTAAATAAATTATTAAGAACCAGAGTAAAACTAAACCAAATGAACCTTCAGGAAGTTATTCTGTAAGATCATATACACACAAAAACTATCCATATCAGAATGTGATATTAGAATTTATGACACAAAAATCTGAAAATTTCGTTCATTTCATAGCAATTAATATATGAAACACAAAGCAATCTTACCCCTTTGCTGTATTCACTATCTGAATCACTGCTAAGTTCTTCAGTATTCATATTTTCCAAATCAGATTCCCCAGGTGCAATTGGCACTGTCACTGTGAGGCTGGGATTATGAATAAATGACTGACAATCACTTTCTTCCATCAAGTATTTCTCCATGTTTCTTCCAAAACCAATGGTTTTATCTTTTTCCTTGTGGAAATTGTGATCTTTGCTCATTTCAGCAAGTGTACGATTAGAGATATAGTTTTGTTCCTTACTAATTAGATCTTCTGCTCGTCTTATCTCTTTGGAAATCTTTGGCTTTTTAGAAAATGCTTTTAGAATAAATTCACGTAAGGTTTGTTTCACATAATTTATTCCCTTCTTAATTCTGGCCACTGCAATCTGGAGGTTGTTTGCATCGGTATCTTCTTCAATTGCTGTAAGATTGTCTGAACTAAATGAACTCAGTAATAAAGCCAGAAATAGATTGAGGACCTATATCGGGGGTGGGGCAAGGGGGGGTGGATAGGGTATGGAGAAATGGGAGACAGGAAGTAAAAAAGAAAATAAGTGTGTTTTTCTGAAATATAAGCTAAAATCCATACCAGCAATGGAGATCCCCGATCCCCGCACTTCCTTATACACAGATAAGAACATGTGATGGGAGTAGCTTAGAAGCTAGACTCATCAATCTCTCTATATACTAGCTGTTGTGAACTCTAGGAGCAGAGGTCAGCCATATCCATGAAGGACTAGCATGAGGAGCAAAGAGAATGCTCCCTTCACCAGTATATGTTATTCTGAAGTTCATTACTGCAGCAAGAGGCCTTGGTCAAATTCCCTTTTATAGACCTAATAAGCTCTCCTAATGTTTACCTATAATGAATATATGTCACCTATGAGGAACGAGTAGAACAAGAAAATTGTGACCACTCTCTATTGTCTTGAAGTAACTTAGGCCAAGTCACTTATACAGAAGATAAATGTCACTTGTTATAAAAAATAAAACATGTAACACTTGCAGACTTCTTGTAATAATATATTCTGTCCAAGAACAGTGTAAACTTGCAATTTAATATGGCTTTCAAATCATAAAAGGATCTGACATTGAACCCAATTCAAATGAAATGATGGCGTTATAATTTGGGTGGCTTGATTGCCAATCATTTTGGCCCTACAACTAGAGATTATAAAAGAGGTCAGGACAATTATCCTTGAAGCAAAATCCCATCTGTTTGCAAGACCATTTTTGTTTTCCTTTCCTAAGGTATGGGTCCAGGTGAATTCAACATAGTAAAAAATAAAAATTCCCACAGAGGGCTAAAAATTATATTTACATACAATTTAAGTAGAAAATAAAAAGGTAATTAAATTACCTGTTCATGTAAATCTATTCATGGCCAAAAACATTAGCCTCATATTAATATAATCAAAACTAGACTAAACTGAGGAAAAGGGACTCATCTCTGATTTTGGCCACACCTAAAACAGTTAGAAAAACACAAGTTAAAAATGCTGATGTTAATATGTTTGGTTTAAGAGAAGAGTGTGAGGGGGAGGGAAAGAAACAATCATTGAAAACAAATATGATGAATCGCTGAGAAATTCTGAAATAGTTTATTTTCATTTTGGTCTTTATTGTTAATGAGTAAATATATTTTACTATGAAATATATGTTCATTTATGTATATGTTTTAATAGGAATGATCATGAGAAGCCAAGGGTTCGTTTTACTGCTTTAGTCTCCCTAATCAATGCAAGTGTTAATAGAAGAAGGGAAGAGAATTAAGAAGTACAAACTTCCAGCTATAAAATAAGTCATGGGGATGTGATATGCAGCACAATGAAAGAAGTCAATAATATCATAATAACTATGTACAGTACCAGATGGTTACTAGACTTATCATGGTGATCACTTTATAAGGTATGTAAGTGTTGAATCACTGTGTTGTACACCTGAAATTAATATAATATGTCAACTATAATTAAATTTTTTTTAAAAATTGCAAAAAAATCATATTTATAATTAGCTTTAGTTTTTCCAGATTTATTGAGATATAACTGACATATAACACTGTGTAAGTTTAAAGTGTGCAATGTGTTGATTTGATATACTTATATATTACAAAATGATTACCATTATAGCATTAGGGAACACCTACTTCCATCATGTCACATTAATTTTTTTATGGTGAGAACATTTAAAATCTACTCTCTTAGCAACATTCAAGTATATAATATGGTATTAATAACTATAATCACACGCTATTAATGAGATTGCCAGAACTTATACTTCTAACGACTGGAACCCTGTACTCTTTTACCAATATCTCCTATTTCAACCCCCCTGGATCCCTCAGCTCCTGGTAACCACCATTCCAATTTCTGTTTCTATGAATTTGGCTTTTAAAAGATTTCACATATTTCAATAATATGCTTCTGTTGCATCACATCTTCACTGAGAATAAATACTATTTTCATTCCATCAAAAAGCATAATAAATAATACATTAATATTTTATCATAGTCTACTGGATATCACACATGAAATGAAGTCCATTCAGTATATGTATCCATTATCATATTAGGCAGGGAAAGAAATATTAATAAAATATATATTTGACCCAAAGTGTAATTCTGATTGATGTGCTTCACCAGTTTCTTGATGCAAACTTGAGGTTACTAAAATCTTATTTTCCTAAACTATCCTCTAAAACTTATGATTTTTAATCTTTTGAATTAATTGATAGTAAAATGACTTAAGGAATAAATGAGAAAAAGAAAAAGAAGTCTATTTAACATATGACTATACTATGTAGAGAACTATATCAGAAACAATTTTTTGTTTCTTTCTTTTCAGAGTCTAGTTCTATATCACTTGTAATTCCTTAATTAAAAGTTGGTTAACAACTTTGTAAATTATATTTTTGTTATCTTTCATTGGCAAAATCTTGTGAAAAATATAAGTATGGGTTATCTGGTAGAGAATTAAGACAATACTTCATTTTCTTTTCTGTTCTCTATATTGAAATGATCAATGTTTTATTACAATTAATAGTTTTAGATCTAACTAATCCTAAAATTATAAAATAATTGATCATATCTACAGATAACAATTTTCTATGGAAAAATTTAAATGTATAGGCATCTGATTACATACCACCAGATTTCCAATCACCATAACCATCATGTAAACAATAAGGCACATGGCTTGACCAGCGACCTCCATACAGTCCCACATGGTCTCTATCCACTCTCCACACAGCACACGGAACACAATCAGGAAGGAGTGAAAGAAATCATTCATGTGCCAGCGTGGGAGTTCACAATCATCGGAGATCCTGCAGACACATTCTTTGTAGCTCTTACCAAAGAGCTGCATGCCGACCACAGCAAAAATGAAGACGATGATGGCCAACACTAAGGTGAGGTTCCCCAGAGCCCCCACTGAGTTACCAATGATTTTTATCAGCATATTCAGTGTTGGCCAAGATTTTGCCAATTTGAAAACTCGGAGCTATAAGTAAACACAAAACATAATGTTAATTATTATGATAAGTTTTAATGTTTTCAATCTTGAGTTTTATTCCAAATTTTAAGTTCTAAAATATTGTCATTACCTAGCTAAAAAACTGATTTCTATTTTTTATTTTCATCTATTTCCAATATTTCTGTTATTTTTTTATACTTACCACAATATAATTACCACACATTTCAAAGGAAGTGTGCAATTTTAGTTCACGATTGCTATAGATACCTCTTAAATGGTTTGACATATTATTCTCTTTAGAATTGATCATTTATCCTTAATTCTATTTTGATATTTTTATAATTTTTTTTATTTTTACAAGAGAACAAATCCACTTTATTTACTTTCGATGAGTTTAAATTTGTGAGGGGTACAGCATTACACGGATTCTGTGTCCAATGGCCTTAACAGGAAGGTTGCTTCGGAATTTGGCACGAATCATGCCACTGTTTTCATGAGCATGATTTATCTTTCTTCAGATTACTCTGGTTTTGTTCAGTTTGCCACCAGGAGTCACCGCCTTGTTCTTTGCCTTGTACACATATGCACATCTCTTGCCTAGATAAAACTCAGTCTCATCTCAAACATAAACTCCTTCAATTTTAAAAAGAGTGGTGTGTTTCCTCTGGTTCTGGAGACCCCGCTTATAACTAGCAAAAATGGCCTTGGACCATAGCCTTCCAAACATATTTGTTGCATTAGAAGTCCTATTCTCAGCAGGCCTCCACAGCTCCAAGATGGTGGAAAAAGATTTATAAACTTTTTAATGCTGACATATGGATAAAGCCCAGTGTGTTAGAGAAAAAATGCTTTAAAAAGCCTATCTTTTTTTTTTTTTGTATTTTTATTATCAGACATTTGTTTTGGGAACAATGATTTGATCTTTAATTATCAAATCCACAAAGTAATAAATATATTATAATGGTTGAAATTCTATAATCATAAGCTTCTTATTGGGAGACAAACTTTTGTCCTATTGGGTAAAGAAATATTTTCTACTATACTCATATATAAAACTTCTATTATACTGGTGTATACAACGGAATATGCTTCAAGATCCTAAAATTAAATATTCATGGGGTTTTGAGCTCTTTAACTGCATTTATTACTGAATGAACTTTATTTTACTAGATATCAGGGCCTAATCTTATCTTTTGATTCAAACCTCCAAAAGATTTAAATAGTAATCATGCAAAGCCACAGAAACACCCCTTTATATACAAAATATAATGTAAAGTTGGTTTATACTTACCAATCTGAATGATCGCAGAACTGACAATCCATCTACATCTGATAGAAAAAGCTCCACTAAACTTAAAGTCACAATAAGGCTGTCAAAAATATTCCATCCTACTTGGAAATATTCATATGGATCCATGGCAATTAGTTTTAAAACCATTTCAGCTGCAAAGATCCCAGTAAAGACCTAAGTAAGAAATATGGGTTTTTGGGGGGGGTATTATTAGAAGATACGGAATCAGCATAATGATGATATGACTGTTTGTTTAGCATTTATTGTGCTTCAGTGTGCTAGATACTTTACAAATGTATGTTACTATCCCACTTAATTCT